CCCCCCCCCCCCCAAATATGAGGCCACCTACTTGGACATTGTCTCCGCAGAGAGGTCTTCCGGATTCCGGACTTTCGTCTCACCTGCAACGAAACCGGGTCAAATTAAAAAAAAGCATTCACCTGAATTAAGAACGCTTATCAATCAACCAATTCTTTTAAGAAAAAAACATTTTATTGGACAAAACAGTTAAAAACATTGAACACAGTGAAGTCGGTTTGACATAACTTTTGGTCAGTCTCGCGCAGATATATATTTTCCCATATACAATTATTCAAATATATACATCTATACATTTGTTTGCTCGTGTATTTTCCAGTCTCATTGGTCCTCTTTTCATCTCATCCATTCACTTACCCTGTCAGCAATTCCTTCCCCAACCTAAGACCTTCCTTTCTGCTCCCACCATTGGTAGAATCTATCCCAAATTGCATTATATTCCGACTCGTCTTTATTTTACATCTCTAAAGTTAGCTTGTCCATTTCAGCACATATCAAGACGTTATTACTTTGTCTTCGCTCGGTATTTCTCTCGGTCTCTTTCCAGTTCTGGCCAAGTGCTATTCTTGCCACAGTAATAATAGGTATAATCAATAGATAATGAATTACAGAAACTAGATAAAATCTTGATCGGCCCAGATGAGATATTATTATCAAGGTTATATAAACATTTATTAGGATTTGAAAGAGCGGAAGAAATTGTGAAAGGAACAATGGTTGCATGGGGTGGGAACGTTGGACATACGATTGATCTAGAAGAATGGGAAAAGATCTGGAACATGAATTATAAAATAACAAAATCGGCAGCATATAAGGGAAACCAACATAAAATGTTCTATCGTCGGCATTTACACCCTCAAGATTGGCTAAGATTTACCCAAATTTAAAACCAAATGGTTGGAAGTGTAGACAATAACAAGGTACCCTTCTTTCATTCTTGGTGGACATGCCCCAAAAGTGAAAAAAAATACTGGAAAATGATTCAAACGTGGTTAGAAGAGTTAACTAAAAACAAAATTGATTTTGTCCCGGAATTATTCCTCTTAGGAATAATTAAAAAAAAAACTATAACAGAAAGACAAAATATCTTATATTACATATATTAACAGCAGCAAGAATGTCATATGCTCAGTACTGGAAGCAAAACTCCATACCACCTGAAGACTTAATAATAATAATAATAAAAATTTAGTGTGTGTGGAAATGGATAAATTAACTATGGAATTAAAAGGGAAAGCAGACACAGAATACAATGCAGTGTGGGAAACATGGTTTATTTGGATTGATAATAGATATAAGAATAGAAAATGTAAATAATGTATATAATAAATAAGAGGGTATGAAATTATTATGTATTGTAAGTTTTGATAGGACACATAAGTGTATATATAATGTCACAGTGCTGTTTAATAACTATTGATATTATGTATAAATGGAAAAAAAACTCAATAAACCATTATAAAAAATAGTATAATCAAATAAAGCTCATCCTTAATTGTATTTTTTAACATGATTCTTAATAGAAAGCATTCTGGTACATGATCTAATTTAAAACCCAACATTTCCTCCAGCCACTTCCCTGACTCTTGCGCTTTTTTGCAGCTCCACCACACATGGTAATGTGTTCCCATTCCATTGAGCATTTCCAACAATTTGAGGACTGGCTTTTTTTATACATCTTAGCCAATCTGGCTGGAGGAAGATGCCATCGATAAAACATTTTGAGCATATTTTCCATATTTCCATATTTCTTTTTATTCCTTTCCCATACCGTTTGCCATTGATCCAAATTAATACTGTACCCGAAATCTCTAGCCCATACCGCCATCATCTCTTTGACTTGTTCTTCCCCTAATTTAATCAACCAATTCTTGATTACATCTGAATTATATGAGCTAAAGGGGAAGAATAGAATTAGAAGAGAAGACTTTATTGGCCAAGTGTGGTCGGACACACAAGGAATTTGTCTTGGTGCAAATGCTCTCAGTGCACATAAAAGAAAATATACATTCGTCAAGAGTCAAGAATCATCAGGTGCAACACTTAATGATAGTCATAGGGTACAATAAGCAATCAATCATATTAGGAAACAGTCAAGAAGAAGTTATGGGTCATGGACAGCAGGTCTCTTCCGTTCCAGGGAAAGAACCATCGTAGTTATTGTGGATCATGGCGCAGTCAGCCAGAAATTTAGGCTGGATTTGGCATTTTTTGGTCCACCTATCAAGTCCTTCCCAGGGACCCCAGACTGGCAGATGAGGATGTTTTAACACCATCGCAGGATGTCAGCTGTTCCAAGCCAAGCTGCCTTTTTTGCAATTGACCGATGGGGATTTTTTTGGTCAATGCCGATGGTGTTCAAGGGTGGGATTCAGACGGTTTGGCCTGGTTCGAGCGAACCGGCTGTTAAATTTACATCTGATTTGCCAAACTGGTAGTTGAACCGACCGGCTGGCGCCTCCCACCGTACCCCACCCCTCCCAGGAGTCTCCATGTGGCCTGTTTTGGATGCAGGTAAGTGCAGGGTCCCTGCAGAGGCTCTGAGAGGGGGAAAAAATGGGCCGAACTGGAAGTTCCAGTAGGCCACGCCCATCACGGCCAGGCCCACCCAGCAACTGGGCGGCAAACCGGTCGGTTGTTGGGATTTTTGAATCTCATTCCTGGATGTTCCAGATGTTCTGGGATGGCAGCCAAGGCGCCGATCCCTATTGGAACTGCCTTGGATTTCTTTTGCCACAGTCGCTCAATTTCTATTTGCAAGTCTCTATATTTTGTGATTATTTTCCCCCCAGTTCTTTTGTCTTCTCTTCTGCTGCCTCCAGCTACTTCCGTGTCTGCAATCCAGACTTTTTTTTGTCCTTCTTATTGACAAGTTCTTAACATATAACAGATAATCAGAATTGGAAGGGACCTTGTAGGTCATCTAGTCCAACCCCCTGCCCAAGCGGGAGACCCTACACCGTTTCTGACAGATGGGAGTCCAATCTCTTCTTGAAAGTCTCAAGTGATGAAGCTCCCACAACTTCTGAAGGCAACTTCTGTTCCATTGGTTGATTGTTCTCCCTGTCAGAAAGTTTCTCCTTATTTCCAGGTTGAAAAATCTCTCCTTGTTCAGTTTCCATCCATTATTATTCCTTGTCTGGCCTTCGGGTGCCTTGGAAAATAGCTTGACCCCTTCCTCCTCTCTGGAGCAGCCCCTCCCTCAAATATTGGAAGATGCTCTCCTGTCTCCCCTGGTCCTTCCCTTCCCTAGACTAGCCAGGCCCAGTTCCAGCAACCGTCCATTGTATGTTTTAGTCTCCAGTCCCCTCATCATCCTGGTTGCTCTTCTCTGCACTTTTTCTACAGTCTCAACCTCTTTTTTATAGTGTGGTGACCAAAACTGGATGCAGTACTCTAGGTGTGGTCTTACTAAGGCTTTATAGGGTGGTATTAGTACCTCACTTGATCTCGATTGTATCCCTCTGTGAATGCAACTAAGGATTGCATTGGCTTTTTTGGCGGCTGCTGCTGCACATGGCTGGCTTCTATTTAGCTGGTTGTCCACTAAGACTCCAAGATCCCTCTTACAGTTCCTGCTGTTGAGCCTGGTTTCACCCAATCTATACGTGTCCTTTTGGTTTTTCTTGCCTAAGTGTAGGACTTTACTTTTCTCTACATTGAATTTCCTTTTGTTAGATAGGGCCCAGTGTTCTAGTCTGTCAAGATCCATCTGGATCTTGAGCCTGTCTTCTTGGGTGTTGGCTATTCCTGCCAGCTTAGTCTTGTCTGCAAATTTGGTAAGTTCTTACACCTGGGGTTTTATGTGGCAGGTGCTGGTCTCTTTGAATTGCGTGAGGCCAAAGGCCCAGGTGAAAGGGGGTTTGGGAAAATGGGCAGAGATGAAGGGCAAGGGGCAGAGGGCCATGGAGAATGGTCTAGGGAGAGCCAGCAGAGGAGGAAAGCTGGGTGTAAATGGGCTGAGGCTGGGGGAGAAGGAAGCGTGGCCAAGAATATGTGACTAAACATCCTAAACCTGTGGGAGAAAACTTTGCAGTTGTCCATGGTTACCAGGGGTGAAGCCGGGAAGAACTTATTCCCGAAGGACATCTGTCCAAGTTAGAGATGGGGAAGTATGGCCCTTTTAAGACTCCTGGACTTCAACTCCCAGAATTCCTGAGCCTGCTGGCTGAGGGATTCTGGGAGTCGAAGTCCACAGGTCCTAAAAGGGCCATAATTTCCCATGGCTGGCTGAGGGATTCTGGGAGTCGAAGTCCATAGGTC